CGGACCCCCCTCCCCAAACACCCCCGGCCCCCCTTGGGCACTCACGGGCACGGGCACGATGTGGCTGGGCGCGGGCAGCGCGGGCACGCCGCGGTCGCGCAGCAGCACCCGCAGGTGCTTGGCGTTGCGCTGGTGCGAGCGGCGCAGGGCGCCCCCCTCGGGGCCCCCCAAGACCCTCAGGGCCGCCAGGGCCCCCCCGACCACCGCGGGGGGCAGCGCCGTGGTGAAGATGAAGCCGGGGCCGAAGGAGCGCACGGCGTCCACCAGGGCGGAGCCCCCCGCGATGTAGCCCCCCACGGCCCCCAGCGCCTTCCCTGCGGGGCCGGGGGGCACCCCAAAGTCAGCAGCGAGGCCCCCGAAACAGGACAGAGACCCCCGAGCCCCGAGGAGACCCCCAGACCCCCCTGCCACGGTGTACACCCGTGTGGTCCCTGCCCCTCCCACCTTTTGGGGTGCCCCCTCCGTTTTTGGGGTGTCCGCTCCCCATTTTTGGGGTGTTCCCCCCGTTTTTGGGGTGTCCTCCCTGCTTACCAAAGGCCCCTCGACCTCATTTTCGGGGTGTCCCCTCCACATTTTGGTGCCCCCCCCGTCCCGAGGGTCCCGGACACCCCAAGTTCCATTCCCCCCCATTTTTGGGGTGTTCCTACCCCCTTTTCGGGGTCCCCCTCCCCATTTCAGCGTCCCCATCCCGAGGGTCCCGGACACCCCAAGCTCCATCCCCCCCCATTTTCAGGGTCCCCCTCCCCATTTTTGGGGTGTCCCTCCCCCATTTTCAGGGTCCCCCTCCCCATTTTCGGGGTCCCCCTCCCCATTTTCGGGGTCCCCCTCCCCATCTCGGGGTCCCCCTCCCCATTTCGTGCCCCCGTCCCGAGGGTCCCGGACACCCCAAGCTCCATCCCCTCCCCCATTTTCGGGGTCCCCCTCTCCATTTCCAGGGTCCCCCTCCCCATTTTTGGGGTGTCCCTCCCCCATTTTCAGGGTCCTCCTCCCCATTTTCAGGGTCCCCCTCCCCATTTTCGGGGTCCCCCTCCCCATCTCGGGGTCCCCCTCCCCATCTCGTGCCCCCGTACCGAGGGTCCCGGACACCACGTCCACCTTGCCGCAGACCCCGTCCCTCTCGGCGATGCCGCCGCCCCGGGGCCCGTAGAGCCCCACGGCGTGAACCTCGTCCACGAAGGTCAGCGCGCCGTGGGCGTGCGCCACGTCACACAGCTCGGCCAGCGGCGCGATGGAGCCTGCCCGGGGAAATTCGGGGAAATTCGGGGGGTTTCGGGGGATTTGGGGCGGTTTTGGGGCGGTTTTGGGGTGAGCGGCTGCAATGGCGCCGGGCACCACCGGGGGGCGCTCTGG